GAAGACCTGGGATATGGTCCCATTTCTGCCTCTGGTGTCACTGCACACAGTTTACTTAGCTACTGCAGGCTTGTTTTCTCATCTTTGAAATGGACTCAGCAACATTCACGTTATTAATACTTTAAAATTTTGCTTTCCACAAATGAAAACACATTTAAAGGAAATACTAGGTCCTTGGCAATAACAGAAGAGTGTAAAAAACAACCCAACAGAGAAGTTAACAGCAAGATCCAAAAGTGTTCACACCCTCGCAGCTTGAATACCAGCCCTTACTGTGCTGCCAGAGGCCCTGCAAGACCTTCTCCTTTAAAAAGCATTTTCCCCTGTTAATTCAGTTTCATACGCCTTCCGCGCAGACTACACGAAGGCCCTGATCTAGAGCTGGGGCTGTCCGCACAGCAGCCACGAGTCACGTGGAGCTGTGGAGCACCCAAAACGGGCCAGTCAGAACTGAGTTGGGCCGCACGGGTACAAAACAGCCAGAGTTTGAAGCCTTAGTACGAAAACAGAATGTAAAATACCTTAATAATTTGTATATTCATTACATATATTGGATTAAATAAAATATATGACTGAATTAATTTCACCTGCTTCCTTTAGCATATACTAATGAAGCCATTTGAAAAAGTTATATTATGTATGTGGCTCATATTACATTTATTATATTAGCTGTTTCTGCTCTGGACCACCAAGCAGAACCAGAGAACTGACTAAGATCTAACTCTTGGAAAGCACTGCGTACATGCTTGCTCCCTGAGAAGTGTTTCCACTTACTGCTCTGCTGCACTGCCACACAGATTTCCCAAGGCCTCCCCGGGGGTGTGGCCCGCGTGAGGGTGAACACGTGTGTGGCATGGCAGGATGGTGGTCCCCTTAGGGGTACCTGGCGCTGGGGAAGGCAGAGTCACAATCCTCGGCTCTGGAGCGCCAAGGGTCTTCCTCGGGACAGAGACGGGGGCTGGCTTGGAGTGATGGCTTGCAGCTGCCTGTCTGAGGTCTGAGGCTCGCACTCTTGCACGGGGCTCTGCCAGGAACAGTGATACTGCTTCCTGAGAAGGAAAGGCCAGCGTGCAGGGCCGCCGGAGGTCCCACAGCTGCCTGCACGGATTTTATCATGCTTGCTCTGAGGAGGGAACAACTCAGACCCTGGGGTCCTCAAGTGTTAGACATTTACAAGTATTCGCATCCAGGGGACTTGCACTTAATAGAACAAGCTGGATAACAACCTAAGTAGAATCCTTGCCACATTCCTCTCTTTAACCCTCCCCATCAATAGTCTTGGAGAACTGAAATGTTAACACTTAATCCTTCCCTTGACTAATCCTATAGTGAATAGTCAAAGTGAACAGCACTTCAGAGTGACCTATTTCTAAAATAGTGTTTAGACAGTAGAAAATTATTAATGCTCTTTACTCTTAAAGATCTTGTTCATTCAACATGTTCAGAGCAAAATCTACATGGATTTCTGCTTGTTACTGAGTAAAAAATCATTTTTCTAAAGATAGAAAGATAGGACATAAAATTTAGTTGCAGTAATCATATTTTTAAACCTAACCCTAACAAATTGCCTAAAAGTGCATCAACCCAGTACTTATTCACAGCACTTAAGTGAATACCTGTCATATAAAACTTACGTGTGTCCCACTTTTGATTTGTTTTGAAACTGGATGATTTGGTTTTTAATAGCAGATTGTTTTCCTAATCTTACAGTGCAGAGCAGGTACAAATGGGCATTACATCTTGTCCAAGTAACTGTGACCCCACTTTACACACCTCACCAAATTTGACTTCTTAGGTTATAACTAATGCTAACCTATAGGACTAAACCTGCACTTACTTTGCAGGAAAATGAAAAACAATGGATGGAGCCTTGGCTGGTGTGGCCCAGTGGATTGAGCGCCAGTCAGAGAACCAAAGGGTGACCAGTTTGATTCCCAGTCAAGACACATTGCCTGGGTTTTGGACCAGGTCCTCAGTAGGGGGTGTGCGAGAGGCAACCACGCATTGATGTTTCTATACTTCTCTTTCTCCCTCCCTTCTCCTCTGTCTATACACTTTTTAATGGGTGGACTGAACAACGATTAAAAGTACGTTACTTGGGAAAAGACATCACTGGGGAAACAGAACCCATAACAGGACTCACAGGAGTCCGTGCTCCATGGGGTCTCTTCTCAGTACAGTACAAAGTGGCCAAGCGTCCACTCTCCAATTGGGTTTCCTGGCAAACCATCGGTTCCTAAATGACTTAGAGGCTTAATCAAGTAGGAGACTGAATGTAAGGGAAATCACCGATTCAGTTATTAAATGTTCTTTAAATCATACTGCATAAATAACAAAGGAAAAAATTGGGTTTCAAAGTTTGAAACAAAATTACCTTTAAGTTTCACCCTCGAGGTTAAGATGGGAAAGAAAGAAAGGCGCTCCACTCACCAGCACCCAGTCCGATGATCATTCTAACGTCTCGTCACCATTACCAGCACACACTGATCTAGCAGAAGCGGTTTGTTCTGTCTGAGGTTTTCAGCCTGTTCCCCAGCACGAAAATGAAGCTGATGTTCACGACCATCAGGCCATCCTGGTGCCTCCTGGTACAGCAACAGGCAATCCTATCACATTCTCTCCCCCAGTCAAGTAAGCACTGCAAAGAAGTGAGAGAGATAATATTGCAGGAAAAACCCCAGCAGCTGCTCTAAGCCCACAGAGAAAGCATAATACTCACAAACCTAAGGACCATTATAGCCAATTATTTGCAAAAATCCTCACAAATGACTGTGTTGATTAAAGCTGACAATTGCAAGGTAACCCCCATCACTACCAACACCAGCAGAGGTTGGTGTAGTACAAGTACCACTCTTATTTTCGCTTGCAGGTATTCTAGAAAGGAGGTACATTTTAAGCTGCTGAAACTGGAAACAAGTAGTCGTGTCTTTCAGATAGAAACTGACAACAAGCAGAGAAAAACTGATGTGAAGCAGCCCAGAGGGTAAAGAAAGTTCACAGAATAAGAGAAGGTATGTGAGTGGAGAAGGTGACCTGGTGGGTCTAACAGAGGGGAGCACCTCTTTTGAAAAACTGAAGCAGGACTTCTGGTCAAGATGGAGGCATAGGTAGACACAATTTGCCTCCTCACTCAGCCACAGAGGGACTTAAAACTATTTCTCAAAACAAATAACAATCAGAACCATCAGAAAATCAAGCTGTATGCAAGTCTGACAACCAAGGATTTAAAGAAGCCACATTCATCCAGACGGGAAGGAGGGGTAGAGTCGCAGAGATGGGTGGGAAAGTGTGGAGATGCAGCATGGCACCAGGAGGCAGTGGTGGTAGTGGTACAACATGCAGGCCCACGTTCACATGTGGTGGATAAAAAATTGGGAGGGATATCATGGGAGCAAGTAAACCCAGCCCCAGACCACACCACACAGCCCAGGGTTCTAGTACTGGGAAGATAAATCCCCATAACTTCTGGCTATAAAAACCAGTGGGGGTTGGGTCAGTGGAAGAAACTGCCAGATTTTTAAGAGTTCATTTAAATGGCCTGCATATACTCAGAACGTATTCAAACCCACCCACTCTGAGATTCGACAGCTGGAAGGGTGCCAGTTGCATGCGGGAAGTGGGTAAAGTGACTGGAAATGGGGGGAGTGCCAGGCAAACCTCCAGATGCCAGAGAGCAGCACTGTCCCCTCTCCAAGTCCTGCCAATCACACAGAGCCACAGAGTGGTGAAGTGCGTTGCCCAGTCCTGGCAATTATCTAAGGCTCCACCCCACACAATTTACAGGTACTTTTTAAAGAGAGTCAAAGTAGCTCTACCTAATACACAGAAACAAACACAGGGAGGCTGCCAAATTGAAGAGACAAAGAAATATGGCCCATATGAAAGAATAAAACAAAACCCCAGAAAAAGAACTAAATGAAACAGAGATAATCAACCTACCAGATGCAGAGTTCAAAACACTGGTGATCAGGACGCTCAAAGAACTCATTGAGTATGGCAAAAACATAAAGGCAGAAATGAAGGTTACACTAAGTGATATAAATAAAAATATACAAGGAACCAACAGTGGAGAGTAGGAAGCCAAAAATCAAACCTATGATTTGTAACACAAGGAAGGAAAAAGCATTCAACCAGAACAGAAGAAAAAAGAATTAAAAAAAAAAAAGGATAGGTCTTAGGAACCTCTGGGACAACTTTAAATATACCAACACCTGAATCATAGGGGTGCCAGAAGGAGAAGAGGGAGAGCAAGATATTGAAAATTTACTTGCAAAAATAATGAAAGAAAACATCCCCAATGTGGCAAAGGAAGTAAGACATACAGGTTCAAGAAGCACAGAGTCCCAAACAACTTGGACCCAAAAAGGACCACAGTAAGATATACCATGATAAAAATGACAGAGGTTACATCCTGGCTGGAGTGGTTCAGTGGGTTGAGCGCCAGCCTGCGAACCAAAGGGTCACCTGTTTGATTCCCAGTCAGGGCACATGCCTGGGTTGTGAGCCAGATTCCCAGTAGGGGGTGCATGAGAGGCAACCACACATTGGTGTGTGTGTGTGTGTGTCTCTCTCTCTCCTCCCTATAAAATAAATAAATATTTTAAAAGCAGCATAATTTATAGGTACAAAATAGGAGGATACCAAGAACAGTACAGGAAATGGAGAAGCCAAGGAACATATATGCATGACCCATGAACTAAGGAGGGGATTGCTGGAGGGAAGGGGGTAATGGGCAAAAGGGGAAAAAATTGGGATGACTGTAACAGCATTATCAATAAAATATATTTTAATAAATAAGAAAAACTGAACCAAATCACCCCCTGGAAATTAGGGTCCTTGAAAATCCTTTCTTGGGACATATATAGCTATGTTTACCCTATTTATTTACTTACTAATTACTGCTGATCTCAGCCTTCACAGGAGACATATAAAAATATAATAAACATATCTGAAGATTGGATACCATGTGCTTGCTATCACAGACCAGGCTACAAAGACAAAAGAGTTTAGAGTTTTTATGATTCAAAATGATACAAAAGAGTTTAGAGTTTTTATCATTCAAAAGAGTTTAGAGTTTTTATGATTCAAAATGAGCCTCATTTCAAATTCAAGTGCTTTAAAGGTGCTTCTCTTCTGTTACTTTGATACAGGGCAGGATCAGTAAACAGTTTATTCCAGAGAAGTACTTGATCCAAAAGAAAGCATAATGTACAAGTACTTATTTTAATTACTCCTATATGAAGGTTCTTATTTTTGGGCAACAGCAAGGCATTTCATTATCCACTCTTTGCACTCCTTAAAGGCTTCCACAGGTTTTGGCAAATTCACATTGTCCTCACGACTATGTTTTGGAGTGACTCGCGGTGTGTCAGCAGAGTCATCATCAATCCACCTCACCAGGGCCTTGGAAAGAAGAAAAGAGATGAGTATTTTAACAAAGCACAGCATTGGCTTCGAAATCAGATTCTCTAAATTGGTGACTTAGATTACCCCATGAAGATGTTCCATTTGATAAAGATCAATATCAATATGGAAAAAACACTTGTGCTGACATACTGAGCAAAAGAATATATACCAAAAATATGCAAACATACAAATTATAAATTACAGTCACAAGTATGCATAGGAGAAAAGATTAAAAAGAAATGCACTAATCCTTAGCTTTTTGGGGTGGGAAAATAATTCTTTTCTCAACTTGCTAAATGTTCCACAAGGCATTATACTGTGATTTTGTTTGATGTGACTGGGTATGCGTACATAGGTGTACCCACAGCTAAGGGAACACGAATGTATATGAAGATACGTTAGACATCTGTGCAGTCACCTGCAGTCACCTGATGGTTGTATCCATGAGTAGTTAACTGATGTCCACTGCTGTTTGTAGATACATGTGGACACATACATTCACATACTGAGATTATGTACTTTGCCTCTTCCTTCTTAAAAATCATCTTTTCCTCCAACGACTATCACATACCTCAGTCCCATATTTGGTGAGGTAAGTCACTCCACGAATTTACATAGTTTTTAAAAACAAACTTGGCCACACGTATATTTATTCTGTTCTGAAACTTCAGGTTCTCTTGCCCTAAGTGAATCACAAATATAGAAACCTCTTCCACCATTTCTCATTGCACTTTAAGTGTAAAACACTCAGAGGCAAGTCAAAGTTTTTAAGGATATTTCTCTGTATGTTTTTTTTCTAACCACAGCTTCCTGCTTATCTTTGCACTAATCTCCTCTGATAAATGAAAGTTCCAGAGAAGGGCCTAATAGAATATGTAGTTTGCTACCTATATAACCACTTCCCCCCTTTTGACTGCACCACCCCAAATTACTTTGTATCTTTCTATAATGTTGAAGCCAATAGCACACTGCAACTTGCGTAAACAGATAGGGCACAGATGTAGGGGGCGCCGGTCAGCTTCTTCCAGGTGGTTGGAGCCTTGCATCAGGCATGCGAGCCACTGGCAGTGTCGAAGTCCAAATATGTGTCCAATCTCGTGGGTTAAAGTCTGCAACACATTCACATTGAAGTTTTATAGTGCCACCATTATCAAATATCAGTTATGCACCCCTTCTTTTTCTTACTTTTCCAAAAAATACCCCAAACTTACAGCAATCAACTCCCTTACAGTCATCACCTAAACTATCTGCCCAAAGACTTAACCCTTCATTTCCTTCAATGTGTTACTGCTTTCATCACTATACCTAACTACTTACTTACCACTGCACCAGAGTTTCTCAATCTTGACAGCACTGATACCTTGGGATTATTGTTTGAAGGAAGGAGGCTATCCTGGCCCTGTAGGATGCTTAGCAGCATCCCTGGCCTCTACCTACTAGATGCCAGTAGCATCCACTCCACAACTGTGACAACCCAAAATCTCTCCCCATATTGCCAAATGATCTCTGGGTAGTGTACTGCTGCTAGGTGACTGACAGTGGCCTACAGCAGTGAGAAACTTGTACCATTTAAATTCTGGGGCCTTCCCCCAGAGATTCGGGGTCAGTAGGTCTAGTAGGTCTTGACCTGCATGTTAACAAGCATATGAGGTGATGCTGATGCAGGGAATGTACCTTGACACCATTGTTCTATACGGTGTAGTTCTCAAACCCCACAGACAGTAAAGGTGAAAGCAAAAAGCCTATGTCCCTGCCTATGAAAATGGATAAAATGAGGAGAAAGGTTCTCCAAAGAGCAGTGGTGGGGTAGACATCAGGAACTGTCAGTAGAACTAACTACAGCACAAGGCAGCCTGGAGACCAAGAGAAAGGCCATCCTCCTTGAGAGACTAGGGAACAGAAGCCCTCCAGGCCTCAGCCCAGCAAAGCAGCTTTGCTCGATGACCACAGCAGCCTGAAAGGGCAGGTTACCTACCCACACCAGAATTCTGGAATTAACAGAATGGTGAGGATATGGGTACAGCCAGGGCTGTGGGTAACTAACAGGACAAAAAACGGGCATAGATCCTCTAAATTTCAATATTAAGGTATCCATTTAAATTGTTTTTATTGATAAACTCAGTCAAGCAATAGCCACCAAAAGTATACAAATGACACAAACTCATTTATAACAAACATTACCTTCAGGAGTGTTCATGTAAAATCGAGAGGAATGAGAACTAAGATCTCTTTAAAGATAGCCCTGCCGGGCCCTGGCTGGTGTAGCTCAGTGGATTGAGCACGGGCCTGCGAACCAGACAATCGTGGTTCGATTCCCAGTCAGGGCACATACAGGGGTTGCAGGCCGGTTCCCTGCAGGCCAGTTCCCAGCAGGGGATGCATGAAAGGCAACCATACATTGATGTTTCTCTCCCTCTCTCCTTCCCTTCCCCTCTAAAGATAAATAAAATCTTAAAAAAAGAGTTATAAAAAAAATTCTACTCTGTATTATTAAAAAAAAAAAAAAAAAAAAAGATAGCCCTGCCGGATTTTATAAACAACTCACCTTACAGGACCGAAGCAGCAAAACGCTAGTCACCGCAGGAATGTAATAGTCGTCAAAGACAGAATAGTCACTTGAAGACTTTTTCTGCAACACCTTCCCTTTGCCTTCATAGCTTGAGCTGTAAAAATCACTGCCATACCTGGCAAAGCTGAATATCCCCACACCTACAGAGAAGGACAAGCAACAACAGAATGAGAGCTAAGATTTCAGAAGGGAAGACCAAAAGGGAGCCTGCTAGGGCATCGGGTCGGGGAGCGCACATCTGTACTCCGGTGTTCACAGAGGCCACCGTGCTTGAGGTTTCCCAAGACAAAGGGAGAGTTTGCCCCAGATTCCCTATCAAAACCTTCTTCTGTCCAATTTGCCCTGCCCTGCAAAACTCACTCATCTTGACGTCAAATTCTTGACAAATTAGAAGTTCCACAGGGGTTTTGTTTTCCCTCAAAAGAAGTCTTTTTCTCAAAGAATAGTCCAAATCAAGCACCCCAGGAAGAATAAAGAAAAGGATCCCATGAACGACCCGCCCTCAGGAGCTTTCTCTTTAAGGACACAACAAACAGATCTCTGTGACCTATGTCAGTGAGGGTGCCTGCACCCCCCTGGTGCCATGCTACTGAGGAAAGGAGCCCTGCCACTGCCCCGAAGCCTTGGACACCATGGTTTGACCATGGCTTTAGGGAGAAGCCAGAGCCTCTCCCCCTCCCCCTTCTGAAGCACAGCCCAACTCTGTGTGGCTGGGGTCGGGTGACCAGAATAAACCTTCTTGTGACTGACTTTCTGTGTTAGGTCTTAGGCTTGTCTAAACCATCTTCACACACATGGAGGACAGAGTATGATTTACAGCTCATTCTACAGGAGGTTGCTTCATAATTTGACTTGTTTATGTTGCCACTTTTATTTATGCCTTTCATTTGTTTATGGTAAGTCATAAGGATTTTTTGTTACAAAAATGATTTCATAGTAAATTTGTCCAATCCAACTAGATTCAAAAAGAATGCTCCTCACCAAACTCTTGGAAAGTGTCCACTGGTATTTGAAATTTAGGAAGAGAAAGCATTCTGAAAGTTAAAAAAAAAAAAAACAGAATCTACTCATGGGTCACAAGTAACCTCATCTGGCCAAAGTGTGGGCATATTTCACTACAATCCCTTTAGCATTAATTTTTTCTAATAATCTTATAAATAGATTATTTTCTTTATAACTAAATATTTCTCAATTTAAAAACAGGAATCTCTGTAAACTTAGAGAATAGTCACTTATAAGATATTGTCTCACTGCTTAGCAGATCAATGCTGCTAGCTTACTACTACTCATATATGATGCAATATATAAGAAACTTAAACAAGGTAGAAACATTTTATTTATTTATTTATTTTTAATTTTTAAAAATATTTTGGCCCTGGCTGGCGTAGCTCAGTGGATTGAGCGGGGGCCTGCGAACCAGAGTATCGCGGTTCGATTCCCAGTCAGGGCACATGCCTGGGTTGCAGGCCAGTTCCCAGCAGGGATCCTACTTAGTCAAAGCTCATTATATGCCAAATCAAAAACTGAAGTTCACTTTTTAAAATGAAATCTTTTCCTTTAGAATAACATGCGACACAGGTTAAGCATATGGTTATAAAGCAGTCTGTGGTTATTCTATCTATGCAAGATGACTATAAAAAGTTAAAAAACAATTAGCAAAATTTCACTTACATTAATGACAGTTCAAATACCTTCAATTTATTTAACTCAACTTACCAGATTACTTACATTTCCCATATGCTGCTCAGAATGCCTATATATGTGCCAGGCATATATATACTTTTTATGTACCAGCACTTCTCTGTAAATTATCTCAAAATGACCTTGTGAAACAGGTATTATTAACTTCAAGGTCATACAGATAGTGAACGGCTGACCTGGGGAGGAACCCAGATCATCGGAATCTATCAACTACACACCTTCCAATACAGCATGATGCCGCACCAGAAAAATACAGTTTTAAGTATCAAAATTATAATTGGTTGGAATTTTTTCCCTCTTTGAACATCTCCAAAGAGTCTCAAGTTGAAGGAGTTTCTATAAACAATGTCAAAAAGGAATACCATCTGTCAAAGAGGCCTGTCCAAAGACAAAATTCCAGGAGTCTCTTGGGTAAAGATCAATCATTGTTATTCCCACAATACAGAAGGCATCCTCAGGTTTCTTCTTCTTTAAGAACTTCAGGATGTGCCCTATTCAAAAAGAAATGTACATGTGCTTTAAATATATCTCCACATCCTCTACTCAATTACAATTTAAAGTCCTTTAACTCACCTGCATGTATTTGTAGGTTTTGTGTGTTATCATTGACTCTAAAGGAACACTTGGTTGCAGAGACAGGAACTGGTTCCAGGAGTTTCACTGTCAAACCATAGAAAAATGCTTCACAGTAGCCCTTGAGCCATTTAATATATTCTTCACTGATAACTCTGGTGTTTCCTAGAGATCCTATAAAAGAAAGAAAAATTAAAGACATACTTTAGGATGATTAAAATGTTCAATCTTTACCTCAGTCTATAATTGTAAACTTGGAATTAGAAATAAACCAACTCTAAATTTGCAATACACCTTTATGCTTCATTAATGTGAGTATGAATTAGAAACAAAGTGTCCTCTTTTAAGGCAGTCTGGCTACAACATTTGCAACATTACATGAGATCAACAGCCCAAACTATCTGTGGCAACAGCATCACTGTGTAACCAACCCAAATCCAGCATATTAACAATATGTACCAATACACTGTATATAAATACTGTGTTTCTCTGGAGAGGGTGTCTTTCTGGAAGGATCACTGAAAAACTCTTCAAAGTCTTGGGGAGGCTCAGGGTGGGAGGTGATCCAATCTGATTGAGAATGCAAAGTAATGGGTCCAAAGAGATCGCTGGCTGGTTGGAAGGCTTCATTCATCAAACGCCTTTCTGCAGCACCAAACTTCTCATACTGGGACACAAGCACTGGGTTCTTGGAGATGAGAGCTGCTCTAAGTGTCTGCTCCGAGTGACGTACTGTTTGCATCTACCAAGAAAACACAGCTAGTCAAATATGAAATGTACATCCAGACTCTAATCTATCCAACATCCACACACATCTCTAATTTCTACGGAAAGGGACGGATTGACTGCTAATGCCTTAGAGGGGTCACACCAATTACTGTTTCCTTTCCCCATTTCCAGTCAATTTCTTGGGGAAGATACCTAAAAAAGTGAAAAGAAAATCATGAGATTCATTCCTCCATCTCTTAATGGCACTTGATCCCATTTTTAAAAACTAGTGGTAATCCATAAAGGTATGGCCTGACTTCCAATTTCTGTCACTTGGCTACTAATAGGGATATTATGAATTGACTCATTAAGGCCACATGAGAAACACTCATCCTTCCCAATGTGACTCAAAGGTGTCCAAGACCAAACAGAGGACTAATGCAAGGACGCCTGGTTCTGTAACTTAACTGCAGGCTGAGGACACATCTCAACCTCTGAAGTTTACCGTCTCCAGGTCTGGTCACCCCGGCAAAGACATCAGTGACTAATTCCAAAGCCAGACTCACAGTGACAGGCCCCTTCCTTTCACAGCCTGGGTTTAGGTAGAGCTTTCCTCCTTCTGTCTGAATGGGCCAAACAGCTGTCCCATCACAAGGCTTTTTAGGTTGGAAAAGGGAAAACTGGACATTTGTCTGGAGCCTACCATAGTTACTAATTATCTAGACTTTTCCAGCTTAGGGATACATATTAGATGGGGAAATCCTGGTTGCATATCTGAATCCTGGGGGGTCCTGAGTGTGGGAGAATTCTGAAACTGAGGTCTCCATGGTCAAAGCTCTGATCCCAGAGCAGACTCATCCTCGCCGACCCCCAATGGGCTGAAATTTGACTTCTACTGGACAAAGCATCAAGCCAGGGGGTGCCCTCCTTGTCTTCTTGCCTTTAGGAAGGAAGACTCCTGCTGAAGTTTTCACCTCACAAGGACCCGCATCTCAGGGTCTGGGCAGGAAGGTGTTATGTGGGGTGCCTTCGCCCTAACATTAAAAATAATGGCGTTTTAAAGCCTGATATTAAGAAGTCTCCCGGGTCTACTCTGGGTGGAGCCTGTGGAGCAGAACAGGGTCACCTCCGTGGGCTGCGGGCCTGCAATCCCGCCAAGCCCAAACCTGCACATCACGGGCAGCCAGGACAAGTTGGTCACTGGAGGTTGTTGCCTCTAGCAACTGGCACCTGGGGCTCGCCCTTGCCGGCGCCACCCGCTCCCCAGCTGGGGGTGAGGTCGGGGTCCCCCCCCCCCCCCCCCGACTTTCGCTTCGTCTTCTCTCCCTGACGCGCCTCCTCGCGGGCCGGGCCTCCTCCCCGAAGACACCACAGTGCCCGCTGTTCTACCTCCTTCTGCTGTGGCTGCACCCCCACATCCTCAACACTGAATAGCAGTGGCCACGGTCCCCATTCTCCACGTCCCGGCAGCACATTCCAAGAATCCCCGGCCCAGCTATGACGTCTACAAAAAACTACCTTCACCCTCCAGGCTTAGACGAGGCCAGGACGCCTGCCCACAGTGGCCCCTGCGCGCTTGCGCCCGGCGGCCGGCGCTTTGCCACGCCCCTTCTGTGACGTCACGCACCGCCACGCCCAGCCCGGGTGAGCGCGCCACCGCCTTGCCACGCCCCGAAGCGTAGAACTGTCTGTTGTACGAAGAGTCCCAATTCTAGCAGCAGGCGCTGCCCTTGTGTCCCAGAGCAGAAGAGGGTCGCCAGGGGGCGACGAGGCGCCGCAGTCAGCCCCCGCGGTCGCCCTTCCTCCTCTGGCCCTCACGGGGGGCGCCGCCACTAGTCTCTCAAGGGATGCCCTTGGGCCGCAGGACCCAGGGGAAGCTGGAGCGAGGCCCCCTTCGCAGGAGGCCGGGTCATGCGGCAGTGGTTCCCCCTGGGGCAGCACCGGCGTCCCGGCTTTGCATGATTGTGAATGTGCTTGGTGAGCCGTGGGTTTGAAAAGTGACTAATTTAACCATCCTGGTCCAAATATAAGTCAGCCGCGGCCGGTGGCTGACGCACAGCCTCAGCACGCTCCCTGGTGCCGTCACCCACTGTACTTTCCCTCCTTTATTTGGTTGCTTCTTTATTTGGTGGCTGTGACTCCAACGGCCGGCCGGGGGCGCGAGGAAGCGCCAGCCACAACCGCGAACTGCAGGTGCAGCGCGTGGAGTCGCGGGCCGCGCAGAGGCGGTGTCCCAGCCAAAAGCCGCCGGCTGATTTTCTCCACCCACGACGTGCGTCCCTTGGTGTCTCACTGCGTCTGCCAGAGCTCGGCTGTGAAGTAGAACAGGTCCCCAGCGGATATCAGGACTGAAGTAGCTCTGTGGCCTTCAATAGGCCTCTTAACCTTTCTGGGCCTCGCGTTTCAAATGTGGATGGAAAAGGACAGGAGAGAGAACTCTCGTCCCAAAGGCCCCCTTCAGCTCTGGGAAATTGAGTGCATCAAAGTAGAGGATCCCCTAACCCACCCCCTCTACAGCCCCCTCATGCATCCCAATGCCCATCAAACACTAGGACCTGGATGGTCAGGCTGGCTAATGCCACTCAGTGCTGCCAAGGACAAATCGATACCTAATGAGCATCCCCTCTCCCTTTCAGCTGGCCTCCAAACAAGCTCACCCTCCCACATACCCTCCTTCTTCTTAAACTCGGTTCATCTCCAGTTTTGTCCCATGCTCTCCACTCAGTTCCTCCTAGCAACTTCCTGCAAAGGAACCCCACCAAACCCTATTCCATTATAAACCTGTTCCTCAAACCTCGGCCGTTTTCCACAGGGTCTCTTCCAAGACCTTCACCTTAAGGGACACCCAACCTCCCTCCCTGGTGGTCACTTCTTCCCTCTCAACCTTCACTCAAACGTACTTCCTAAGCCCTGTTTTTCATTTCTAAGCCATTGTCCTACAAAGTAATCTCTATTCTTTTGAAGCTCAGGACGTTTTACCATACTCCAGTATGTCTTCATCCAAATTCCTTTTCCCAAGCTCCAAAAAGGAAACACATACACACTCTTTCTCTTTCTTAATGAGCTCAGCACCTGTCTAATTGTTTCTTCTCCACCCTTAAGCACTTGTTGACTTCCCTTAGAGGAACTTTACTACGTAAATGTTTGATCTTTGAAACTCCGTTGATTGCCTCAGCCTCTCATTTGATCATCCTCCTGGATCCCCAAATCACAACATTCATTCGCTGAACAGAGTGTTCATATCCACCCTTTCCTGAATACTTTCTTCCATGAAACGTATTCATACCATGCCTATTCTCAAAGTTGCAAACTGTGGACACTGGTGCATCAGTCTTGCCATGCCTGAGAAGTAGTAGGCTTTCTTGGATGTTAAGGCTTTTGATTGAACGCCTATCTCCAGGTGTCCCAGGAGTCAGTGTAGCACAGGAGCTAAGATGATGGTCTGTGTTTGTACCCTAGAACCTTCACTTGTTAGCATGTGACCTGCATCGTTTAACCTCTCGTGAGTCTCTTCCCTGGCTTGTACAACAGAAATAATAATAGCATTGACCTTACAGAGTTTTAGGGATCAAATGAATAACTTTGGACTCTCTTTTAGTTGAATGGCCTGCCCTCCTGAGAGGCCCCTTTAGCTGAGTTACCACCTATTTTGGTAAGGCTCTCTCTAACCCAACTTCCCTCAAGACAAATCTCCCTTTTCTGCAAGGTTCACTGTCTTGTGTATATATGCTGTCATTATACTTCTCACAGTGAGTATAATCTAATTCTCCAAATGTCTCCCTTTCTAGGCTGTGAGATGGTTGAGGGCAAAGACTTTCACTCAAGGTGTCTGGAACGTCAAAGAGATTCATTAGGTTTTCATTCAGTTCATTGTATTCATCATCAGAAAACCTTCATTTTGCCTTTAAACTGCTTAAATCCATTTGTTTTTGCATAAAAATGTTGTGGTTGCTTGAAAATCTTAGAAAGATACCATATTTCTGCATAAAGTTTTTAAAAATAGTGCTGTGTGTTCTTTTAAGGTTTGGGTTTTGGAATTTTTTGTAGGGTTTTTTTTGTTTGTTTTTGTTGTTTAGAATTAAAAGATCTTTGCCATTACCCAGGACACCAGGATAATAGGTGGTTTGGAGGAAAAGTATACATAATGAGGGGTATAGGTAAGGAAGGCCTCACAATGCTGAGTCCAGGATGGGATTGTAATTAAGGTTTTGGGGTGGTTTTTTTTTTTGCCTATTAACTAATATTGCAGAGTGAACCACAGACTATCTACATTTCTAAGATAACTACAGATTCTGGTTTTTAGAAATAGATGTGTATGTCAGTTGTCCAGGGTTAAAAAAGAAAACTTTAACAAAATTAGAAGGCTATAGAAAGCAGGAAAGAAATGCCATATATATAAATGCCAGAGATATATGCACATATGTAAATATATATGTAAATGCCATATATATATATGCATATATAGTCTGCCAATATATATATATATTGGGCAGACAAAAGATTTTTAAGTGGCTTTACAAATCAATAGGAAAGTGAAAAGAACATAAGAGTAAAATGAGCAAAGGACATAAACAGATCATTTGAATGATCCATTAACATGTGTTCGATTTTACTAATAATTAAAATTAAAATCATTTAATACTTTTTCTTACCTATTAAATTGATAAAACTGTTTATTTTAAAATAATTTCAAGCTTACAGAAAAGTGGCATAAATAGTAGAAACAATTACTATCAACATAATCATTTTCACCCAGATTCCCCAGTTGTTAACATTTGACCTCATTTCCGTTCATTTTCTCCCTCCCCCTCTCCCCCTCTCTCTCTCTTCATACACAAATATATTTCCCCCAAACCGTTTGAGAGAAAGTTACAGATATGATGTCCCTTCACTCCTCCTTACTTTAGTGTTTATTTTGTGAAACCCAGTACATTTTCATAAATAACCACAGTACAATGGAAACATATCAGTATAAACTCATGTTTTAATGGTGCCCCTTCCACCTCCCCAATTCATTTTCTGTACAGTCTCTGAATATTACTCATCCTGTCATTCTACTAATTAGAGATTCATTTAGATTAATAACCAAACTATCGTTCATTTTCTTAGTTCTTTGGTTTTATTTAAAAATTACTAGATATATGAAAAAATTCCAAGTATATATTTTTAAAAGCTAAACAGTGCTAAAGGGGCTGTAATGAAAAGTAACAATCCCGTAACAATCCCCAAGAGGCCAACCTCCAAGAGGCTTCTGATGTCAGCTCCTCAACTGTTTCCCTGGTATTTATCTCTGTATTTCTAAACAAAGTATGTATAATGAGATTCCTTGATCTGTGGATTTAAGGTTAGTATCTATTGATTTATTGCCATAATAAATCCTCCCACTCTCCCCTTCTCATTCCTCTCAGGGTTCTTATATCACATATCTGTAACTGATTTATATTGCTGATTTTTTATTGTGGTTCAAGTTCACTTGTGTCCATTTTCCCACCACCATTTATCTCACATACTCTGATCAACTCTACAGTCAGTACATATATTACGATGGTCATCCAAACACTGTCCACTAGTACACTGTGACATTACCCTCTTTCTGGTAGAACTCTTCATTTTTGCCTGGAGCTCAAAATCATTCCATTCCTGTTATTTACTCTCTTTTTTAAATGATAACAGTTTCATTTGCTGTCTCATGACCTCCTCTCTCTTTGTTTAAATCCTTCATCATCTCTTATACAGACTTGTCAATAATACTTCCTACCTAGCCCAAGCACATTGGTTGCATTTTTTCTTTTTCTGGGAAACTTCATTCTGGAGCTCTCTGTCCCCCTGCTCCACTCAGAGCTGGCCCTGTCTGGGTCCGCTGCTGGGTGTCGCCCTGGGACTGTGATGACACTCTACTCCAGCAGATCCCCTGTTTCTTCAGTCTTGTGTCTTCTTCTTTCTTGGTTTTCACCTTTGACTGCAGTAGCACATCCCCCAGGACGTTTTGGAATATAGGTACATAGAGACAAATATTTTGGAATTTTGCATATCTGAAAACAGTTTTATTCTAGCCTCACACTCGACTGAGAGTTTTCCTGGGTTGGTGTGGAGTTTTAGGTTGATATTCATTTTCCTTCAGAATTGTGAAGAGTTTGTTTAATTTTCTTCTGACTTCCAATAATGCCAGTTTGATTCCTAATCCTTTGTCTGTTACTTGCTTTTTTTAGGAAGATCTTAGGGTCTTCCCTTTATCCTTAGAGTTCTGAAGAACTCTAGGTTTTTTAAGTTTATATGCTTTTTTTTCAAAGATGTGCCCTGGTCTGGGCCTTTTTCCCCATTCATTGTGTTGCTCACTCAGTGGGCCCTTGAGACTCTTATCCTTTCATTCTAAGAAATTTTCATATTATATTTTCTTACAATTTCTTCCCTTCCATTTTTTGCTGGGTGTGGGACTTCCCCCTAATTTTCTTATCCTTTTTTTTCCCATATTTTTCCATCTATTATTTTGTACTATTTTCTGAAGTTTGTATCAACTATCTTCTATCATTTCTTTTTGAATATTTATTTTAAAACATTGTATTCTATAATAGCCAAAAGCCCTTTCTTGTTCTGAT